ACTCCGACAGACTCATTGTGGTCAGCAGGGAAAGTATGGAAGAGGCATTAAAAAGCCTCAGAATTATGTCCAAAGTAATGCTATATGGGACCTTCTTCTCAGCTAGGAGCAGGAAGCGAAGCAGCTTGCAGGAAGTGTCCTGTCGACATCGTGTATACGACTCCAGACGGAGTATATGGGAACGCGAAAGACTAAAATAACGGTACATGGCGTACCGGTGGACATTTGCGAGGACCGCAAGGGAGAGATCACGGAGGGCGAAGTCTACGTGGCGTTGAAGAAGGTCGGCAGAGGCTAGTCGCTCAGTCTGGATGGTTTGCCCTATGAATTGTACTTGAGGCTGTCGCACATCTTTGTCCCGATTTTAACGGTTGTATTCAACATCTGGTTCCGGCATGGGGCCATCCTCGACTGGTTCACCAGGGGTGTGATCACGCTGTTGAAAAAGGGCAAGGGTGTTGGGCGGGATTTAGATGCCTATAGGCACATAACACTGCTAACCACATATCCTGCAGGAGCGTTTGCAGTCAGTTGCCGAGTCTCTGTTGGGTCCTGAGAAGACTTGCACTGTGAGGTGCCGAACAATTCAGAGCAACATGAATCTGATCCGCACGATCATAGAGGGTGTAAAAGACGACGAGGCCGCGCTGATCAATTTAGATAAGTCCAAGGCATTTGATAGGGTTGACCATCGCTACCTTACCGCTGTCCTACAGGCCGCCGGATCGAACCCGACTTCTGCCGCTAGATTAGCCTGCTCCCCGGTGCTGTGGTACAGGTGAACAGGAAGCCGTCGGCTGCTTTTGCGCTGTCTTGATAATCGTTAGAGTTGTCCACTGTCACCCCTACTTTACGCTTTGGCGATGGAATCTCTCCTTCGCCGGCTAAGGGACAGGGCGTGCAGTCAGGCCCTCCGTGGAATCGCTGTCCCTGGAGTGGCTCGAGCCAGGGTTTCCGCGTACGCCGATGACGTATTTACGTTCGTGTCGTCCCGCAGCGACATTGAGGTGGTACTGAAGGCGCTTGAACGGTACGAAATGGTGACAGGGGCCAAGATTAACCGCGACAAGTCGTCCAGCTTGCGGTTAGGTGTCTGGAAGAGGGTTGATTTTCCGGGGCCTTCGGTTGAACGGGCGCTCCTGTCCGCATTCTTGGAGTGTGGTTTGGATCTGACCTTCAGCTGGAGAAAAAAAATTGAACTGAAGTACAGGCAAAGGTCGACGCGGCCGGTCACACTTGTCAGGTTGTCCGTGAAGGGCAGGGCGGAGGCGCTTGCCACTTACGTCTTTCCTATTGTCCTTTATCGGTTGTCTGCACTTCCTATCTGTAAAGATCATAAGAAGTCGCTCGAGCGTTTGCTATCCGCCATTTTATGGAGGGGACGTATCAGATCAATCGGATTTCCTTCGCGAATGTCGATATGCCTTGACAATCATTCCTCGGTCCAGTGACTTTTCTCGGCCTAGGAAGGTTTTCCATCGTTCTCTAGTGGAGGGGTCGCGAAGGATCCTCTACGTGGGCGGCTTGACTTGTCGGGAGAGGAGTTTCGCTCTTACTGGTCTTGGGCGCCAGCGGCGGATTACCTCAGTAACCCTGAGTTTTCGCTTACCTGGCGACTGGCTCGGAATAGGCTGTCTCTCGATGACAAGGCATTCATATGGGGCTTAGCGGATTTGCCAGACTGTGAACGATGTGACCTTGGTTCAGAAGAAACAGCTTCGCACGCCTTCTACTATTATCCTCGGGTCCGTTCCTATGGGACCATGTCGGCGAGCTGACGGCTCGTATCGCTCTCGAAAAGCTTGTGTTCATTGATCGTGCATACGCGTCTTACATTGTGTCGCCCACGTATTCTGGGGTGAAACGAATGGTGTTTCTAACGCTGCTTGCCACGGCCCGAATGGTGAATTGGACGATGCGACAGGAGGAAGTCTTGCTAGGCAACCGTCTTTCCCGTCAGGATCTGATCCGATTCTTTGAGCATCAGCTCAAGATGAAGATTAGAACTGATAGAAAACTCTTGCATTCGATAGACTTTAACGAAAGGTGGTTGACTGAGGCGAGCTTGGTTCATTTGAACGGGGCTAGCCTTGATTTTCTCTTTTAGGTCAACCTATATCACATCGAGGTCGCTTCCTGTGGAGCCCTCCCCTGGTTAGGCTAGACAAACTTTTGTGTACCTAGTTAATGTGAGTAAGTGTTGTTCCCGTCCTGCTCCTGGCCACATCTTTTTTATGATCCAAGTTGAGATTCCCAACTTCTCCAGTTTGTTTTGGCCCCTTTTTATCCCTTTTTTATCTGGTCAGCTTTATATATTTCCCATGTCCGTATATATTTTCTCCTTTCCCACTCCCTTAGCCAGAGAGCCTCTTGATTTTGTCCAATGGGAAGAATACAACGGCGTCTCTTTTTTGAGGTTTTGACGGGTTCTACTAACTTCAGTTATGTTTATTTTGCTTTGTTTTGACATTTAGTTTGTTTGGGGGCTCAATCCCTCCCCTCTATTGTCCATCATTAAATTTCGACATATAATAATTTATTATCTTCAAATGGGGTGCGTTTTGTAGGTCCCCCTGAGAGGATGCGGTATTGTGGTGACGAACGAGTTTTGTGGTTAATGCGCAAATTGTAACGAGTGAATGGGTCGTGAATCGGATTAGCTAGGTATAAGATTGTTAGTGAAGACCAAACTCAACTCCTTTCCCCTTTTTGGCCTTGTGCCCTAAATGTATGTTTCATACAATAAATATAATTAAAATATTGGAAAAAGAAAACATTTCAACTTTCAAATCTTCAGTCTTGTAAATCTTTTTAGATGGATTGCCTGATTGTCTGATTTTTGAAAGCTTTGCCCCCCCCCAAAAAAAAAACGTTAATAGTGTCAATTGCTTGAAATATGAAAGGAATTGGCAGTATAAAATCAAAACCAAAATTTTCATTACCATTTGGAAATTATATGAAATTGTATACACCGAGCGAATTGCCTGAAGCAACAATATTGAAACTTAAGCCACAGACAAAAGTTTATTTCGTTAGTAATACCTCCGCCTCGGTTCCGATTTAGTGTAAGATATTTTTGATTTTGTGATGGCGACTAAAGAAGGAGATTCATCATTTTTGTCTAGGTTTATTGGTTTATTTTGTTTTCCGGCCTATTAATACCTCAATGGGTTATTTAATGCCGATAAAATTTTTCGAATATGTATTGATTTTTTTTAATGTGTTTCTGGTAATATTTTTTTTTCAAAAAATGTATGGCTGGTAATATTTTTCAAAGAAGGATTTGCTGGTAAAAAAAATGTATTTCTGGTATTTTTACTAAAGAGATCTATTTTTAAATTTTTCATGTTATTTTGGCCCCAGTTTGGGGGATAACTATTTGTCAATAGCTGAGACCCTGAGAGATGCTACCACCCTGGGTGAACATTGGAACAACAATTAAGAAGTGGTTTCTTACTCCTTAAAACCTCCCGTTCAGAGACCTTGCTGCCGGATGTAGTTTATCGTCGTACCCAGGAGGCCACATTGGTACTTTGTCGCTTGGTCAGATGAGTGGCTAATTTCAGACTGTCTAGTTCGTGTGTAAAGGAGACTGCAATATGCTATGGATCCAGACTACATAGTGTTATGCTATCTGTTGGTAGTTCTGTAATGGTATGTTCTGTTGAAGTTATCAAGGGCTCGTAATGAAACTGTATCCTCTATTGGCGGGTCCTACTAACATCAGTCATGTTTATTTTGCTTTATTTTGACATTTAGTTTGTTTTGGGGGTTCAAACTCCCCCCTCTATTGTCCATCATTAAATTTTGACATATAATAATTTATTATCATCAAATGGGGTGCGTTTTGTAGGTCCTCCTGAGAGGATGCGGTATTATGGTGTATGGAGGATTTATTGGTGACGAACGAGTTTTGTGGTTAATGCGCAAATTGTAACGAGTGAATGGGTCGTGAATCGGATTAGCTAGGTATAAGATTGTTAGTGAAGACCATCTTTTGTGCTGGCCATGTTTCCGATGGTAATGTTTTGTTCAAACATGATACCACAGATTGCACGAGTGACTCAAAGTAGTTTCCGGAATACTTGATTCACTTCCAGTTATTTAATTAGACCCAGTGCTTGCCAGATATCAACCCCATTAAGCATATATGGCACAAATTGATTAACAAACTTAACAAATACAACTTAGCTGTAGACGTGATAAATATCCGAATAGATATATCAACGCAACGACTCTAGTACATCATGGACTTTATGTCACCTGCCGTTATTCAGGCAAAGAAGGTGTACACGTCATTAGGTAGCCGGTTGTGATTTTTTACCACTTCAATATATATATATATATATATATATATATATATATATATAATAAAAATAGCTGGCCACACGTATTCGTGGATACCTGTCTAGCAAATCCCTATTGCAGTTTGCTCAATATCCAACTGTGGTTTATACTGCTACTATGGTGAGCAGACATTAGTTACAATTTCTGCGAGAAAGCGTGTTATCTAGCGTGCTCAACAATTTGAACAGGGCAAGCACGCTCAAGCCCTGGACCACGATGACTTGTGGCTTCATGCTACCACAGCTACCGACGGCCCCAAAGAGTTCCGTCTATCCAATTTCTACTCGCAAGTCTTCGATCAACCCGTGGTATGGTTTTCAGGCACTTTTCAAAGGTGCTGCACGCTGGGATAGACCTCGATCCAGTCCTGACAATTCGACCATGGTCAGATTCGAACCCGGGTCTCATGGTCAGAAAGCGAAATGTCTTTTATATATATATATGAGTGAGAGTCTGTTCACATTTCACATATCTGCAGTAAGGTGCCCTCAAATTGGTTAAGTTATATCAATCTGCACAACCAGTTCTTAAGATAGGTCAGAAAGAATTCAGTCATTGTGAAATATATATATATATATATGTATGTATGTATGTATGTATGTATAGCCCGAAACAGAGTCACAAAGAAGGAAATGTAGAGGAAGGGAGAAATGTTAGCTTGAGCGAAACAGAGAGGTATAGTGACAGAGAGAGTGAAAGAGAAAGTGACAGTTAGAGAAAGAGAGAGATATAGTGAAAGAGATTAAGAGAGAGAGAGAGACTTAGAGAGAGTGAATTTTTGCCTTTTGTATTTAGTTTGAAAACTCTCAGTATCAACAGATTTCCATATACCCCATTCGCTTTGACTGCTACTTAGCGAGGAAAATAGAAAAGGTAATTCATGAAGGTTTCGTCATTTTGACCGGTCAAGGACACAGCAAAAGAGAGGTCAGTAAGGGGAGGTTTTTCTGAATTTGATGACAAAGTAAATCAAAGACGCGACAATACTGTCGAAGTAAGAAATGGTCGAACGTGAGATCAGCTGCGATGTCGGCTTTGGATAAAAGCAAGAGGAAATAAGATTTGACTGGTTGATTGATTCGAGTTGGGAAAGTCTCACTTGAAAGAGAACTCACCGGAAAGAAATTACTGAAGAAAAGTCACAGAAATAACGAAAAAGAAAGAAAAAAAAGATAAGATAAAAAACCAAACAAAGAAAAAAAACAGACGTGTTAAGATCGTCTTACAAATCATTAATACTAGTGAGTTCGATCACCATTGGCTATTCCATCAATTGTGGCCATCCCCTTCTTTGTAATGTACGCATAGTGAGTTCGATCTTCACTGGGCATTCTTTCTATTATGATGTACGCACAATTAGTTCGCTCCCCACCGCCTATCCTCTCCATTGAGATGTACGTATAGTGAGTTCGATCCCCAGTGGCCATCACGCACATTGTGATGTACGATCCCGACTGACCACCCCTCTTTTGTGATGTACGCATATTGATCCCCACTGGCCATCTTCTCCATTGTAATGTACGTATTGCAAGTTCGATTCCCACTGGCTATCCACTCCATTTTGATGTACGGACAGGTTAACGTTTACCAGTACGAAAAGTCAAATCGATGAGTTGAAATAAAAAAAAAATTGCTCGATCCTGTTTCGGCCAACACCTCATCAGAGATTCCCTTGGAAATGGGATTAATCGATCGAGTTATATGAGTTTAAAAAAGCGCTGGCCTTGCTGGTGGCCAGTCAAGGAGAATGAAAACTCTGAATACAAAGATGCGGTGTTTGTTATCTTCGCACTAAGCATCTTTTCTCTAATTATTTGTGTGTTGGCATCTATAAACTGAACTTTTGGCGCCCTTATATATCGAAACAGACGAGAGAGTTCAACAAACACACACACACATGGACACACACGTACACACACACACACATATATATATATATGTGTGTGTGTGTCTATATTTTTACTTTTTATACTCACTGGAACTACTTATTCTGGTTTTTGCAATTTTATCCCTTCTTATTTTTTTCTCCTCTTTTTAATATTAAATTGTATTTCAATCGTAGTTCCTCGTTTCCTCCCAGTTTGTCTATCATTCCTGATTCTCTTTAAAAATTTATTAGTCGCCGGCGATTTTTCTGATGAGGTGTCGGCCGAAAAAAAGGTTGCCTTTTTTAAGGGAAAAAATGCTGTTTTGTCTGTTTAAAACTGTTTACAAGTTCTGCGATATCACACACACACACACACACACACACACACACACACACACACACACACACACATATATATATATATATAAATTTCTACAGCTTAACTCTGAGAAATTTTTCATCTCTCTCTCTCTCTCTCTCTCTCTCTCTCTCTATATATATATATATATATATATATATTAGTAATTAATAGTTGTGCCAGTCGGTTGGTTTTCGACCCTAGAAAAATGGAGAGCATTTCAAATTCTGATTTTCAAGCGTTTCCTGACCTTCCCCTTAGATACTCATTTTACAAGATTCAACTTGTAAAATATAGATAAAAGATGTGATGTAGCAAATGTACTTTTTGGTCAGTTAGTGATTGTTTTCCTTTCCTAGCATCAATTCCGTTTAATCATTTTTACTTTAATATTAATTAAAACCTTTACAATAAAATCTAAATGTCTGAATAATTTTAAGAAAGAAAACTATTCAATGTTTACATGGCGTTCTATTAGAAGTGTCCAGAATAAAAAAACAAAACAAACAACAACCTTACAATGTATGTATATATTGGCTATGACATTAAACTGCATTCTGTGACGAGATTGGAGTGTTTGTGCCATTAGGGATCCCATCAATAGGTCAAATAGATCTGTCTATGTAAAACAGGATCGGTGACCTGCTCGGCTCCCTGGGAAACATAGAACCCTTTTCTTTGTCTTCTGTCTAAAAGTAGAGACTGATTAAAAATCTAAGACCGATTGCATCCACCGATACAGACTAGTTCTTCATTTTAGGTAAATGCTATATGTTGTTCAAGTTTGGTACCGTTTGAAACCTTTTCTCACTTTCAAGCAAAGTGTCCTTAAGGCGCAGTGACTATTTGTAATCGAAAGAAGAACAAATTCATTGAAGAGGGATTTACGAAGGGAATTTGAGATTGATCTGACTGAAACTATGGGTAACCCTCAAGAACTAACCTCCAATGTGTGTAATAAAGTTTGTCTTATTAAGCAAAATTAAAATGTGATCAAAGAAGTCACTATCATGAATTGCCATGAACTATGCCATACAAGGTAAGTAGTACTATATGTAGTGAATGTGACAAGGAGAGGAAGTGTTGCTGTCTTGAAGCGTCACTCACAAATTAATGATAATATTTATGGAAAGGATTGTAAATACCTGGCTTGGATCAAAAGTCATATTCGGACTGTGCACTAGTAAAATTGTTATTGGTAACGATTTGTCGGATTTCTTGTGTTAATTTTGTTTTGGTTGGTGATATGTTTTTAATTGAATGATTATCAGATAAATGACATTTGTTAATCGGTGCGATAATTTAGTGGTTATATAACCAAGGCGCGTTTGGATTATTATTATTATTAGAGAAACATTCTCCAAGTGAGTAAGCGAATTGATATATAACGTTGGTTTCTTGAAGTTTCTATTTCTTGTATCGTTGGTGGTGATCATGTTGGAGATATTTTAGATTATATATATATACTCTAAAATATATATGTATATAATCTCATCAGTGTGGCTAGACATCCGATTTGGCATATACATATATTGTGTGGGTGCATAATTATCAGGCGTTTTTGTAGGCGAGTTACGTCTATTCTTTTTAATAAAAATATTATTTTATTTTTAGGTAATAAAACTGCGTGTCGATATGATCATACTCATTTAAAAATGTTATTGTTGAATTGCTATGTTCCTTTTTTGCATAATGGATATTGTTTAAAAACGCCTGATAATTATGCACCAACCCAATATATTTATATGCCAAATCGGTCGGGTCTCGATCCCGGCTTGAAACAATCGGATGTCTAGCTACACTGATGAAATGTGATACAGCGAATCAGTCTGTCTGTGAATGACTATATATATATATATATATATATATATATATATATACATACATATATATATATATATATATATATATATATATATATATATATATATATATATATATATATTAATTCAATAACCAGGTAGGCAATGATTGACCACTACTTTAAGTTTCATGTGTTTGCACACAATCTTCAGGTAGCCAGTAACTTGCAGTAATACGATGATTACCTCATATACCACTAGACACTTTGACAAACAAACTAAACTCGCACAATAGGGAGGCTAGATCATCCAGCCAAGATCTAAAATGGAAAAAAAAAAATTCAACCAGTCTAATAAAACGAGATCAATAACAAGAGAAACTGGTGTTATGGTTCAGGAGCTAAAGCATTAAGTCAAAAAAGTACTCAACTGGACCAGACAACCGAATTCACAATAGAGTATATATATGACAGAAGGATAATTTTCGGCAGACTCTATTTAGAGCTGCTTATTCAAACCTTTGAATTATATATATATATATATATATATATATATATATATATATATAGTTAGGTAATGAAATGTTTGGTAATCTGTATGGATAATTACAAGGAGGATGTAAACCAGAGAGCTCAGTGTAAAAACAGAGCGAATATTAGTTTAATTAAAAAACAGATAATCTTAAGGGTCCATCGAAATTACCCTACCGCCCTTATGCCTAAGTATCTTAATAAAGATAGATTTAAATATATTCCTATCTCTTTATTTACTCTTTAATTTCGATCATAGCTGTCGTCCTCCTTCTTCTACTCTCTCTATATATCAACTTAAAACTACCCCTCAAAAACTTGTATGAAAATAATAATATGTAAATTTTTAAATCATTTTATTTTATGCTTGGAAATGTGATGTGAGGAACCAGGAAAATCCCTTTCCTGGGGAAATTAAATATAATCAACGGACATTTCTTTAATTAAAAATATATATATATATATATATATATATATATATATATATATATATATATACAAAGACTAAAGGATAACTTATCTTTTTCGAGACGTTTCGTCCTTTAAGGCAAATGTAAAGATGAGAAACGGAATGCGCTGGCTAAAATAAGTTTATCCTTTTGTTTTTATTCATATTTTCCTTTCATTGAAATTTTACAGAAATACACACACATACATACGCACACACATAAACACACACACTTATGTATAGAGAGAGAGAGAGAGAGGGGGGGAGAGAAGAAGACGAAGAAATATGTCTTTGTGGGTATAAGAAATCAAAACTGCATGGTGTCCGTCAGTTAGAAGCCTCATGCAAGCATCAAATTCCTACTACGCTACCCAGAGCAACGTCACGACCAAACAATAGTCCATAACCAAAATCTAATCTAACTTTATTCCACATATCAATCTTGCGAACAAATAAAGTATACAGAAAAATGAATAAAAAAAAAAAAAATAAAACTATAGAATAAACAAAGTCAGGACTATAAATAACGTAAAACTAAAGCAGTGGGAATGTCAGCTATTCCTCTTCTTACGCTTTCTATAGAAAACCCCACCCCATTCCTGGAGCTTATATATGATGTTTACACAATGTGCAGTGACACATGCTTTTGGCATAAAATTGATAATCACCATACAGTGTGGATTACTATGTACAATTTAGATCTACAAATTCTCTGTATTTGCAGCCACTTCATCTCAGGTATTGTACATTGTTCC